ACCGTTTTTCATTCATAAACAGGGGGTTTGGCGGGTGGATGGAATCACTTTTGGGTTTTAGAGACCGGGCTGCTCTCACTACAACCGGCTGGTCCAAGTTGAACGATACAACAGCCCGCCCATATGAACAAAGGCCAAAGTCCATTCCATGTACCCGCCAAACCCCCAAGAGTTTGGCGGGTACATGGTACATGGTACCCCCTATTAGACTATTTTACAGGAACTTCTTTTCCACAGCTCATAAAACGGAGGAAAGGATCCTGAAAGATATTGTTGATAGAAACGTTATCCCTACAGACAAAAATCAGAAGATACTATTGACGATTTACTATAAAACCAAAAAAACGGCCAGCCTACTCATGAGAAACTCTCCAGACACAAAACAGAACATTTTAAAAGAGACTAACGTCGTCTATGCCTTCAAATGCCCACTTGGGGACTGTAAGCCTCAAAGAACTCAGTATATAGGCAAGACAACAACAACTCTTTCCAGGCGATTAACGATGCATAAGCAACAAGGCTCCATTAAGGAACATATAATCTCTTCCCACAACCAGACCATCACCAGAGAAATCTTAACAAACAACACAGAAATCATCGATAGATACAACGATAGCAGGCGGCTTGACATCTGCGAGGCACTACACATCAAGAAGTCAACACCAGCAATCAACAGCCAATTAATGCACAACTATATTCTACCCACTTCAAGACTCCGCACCAATATAGAAGCATCAAGAAATATGGGCCAATAGGCCCTTTGCAGTTATTTCCATCCTTCCCTTTAATTTACCCAATATTATACCCATTGTTTCGTGTTCTATCTTGTTTTGAAAGTTTTGTTCACCTCATCCAAAACTGTTGTAACTTATCACCTCACCCAAATGTGGGTATATAAGATGATAGCTGTTTAAATGATAGCACAGAACTCTGTTTAATGTTTACTGGTTATAGTTGTGTGTGTGTAAACTAAAGTCTTTGAAAATGTAATAAGTTATTACGAAACGCATTCAAGTGTCGCATCAGACTAGAAATAAAAATGAATTCTGGAGAATTGATTTTTCATTTACCATCGACAGTGAAAAGAAACATAAGAAATATTGAGAAAATTCGTGTTAGAATTATTAATCTTACTTTTTCGGTCATATTTAATAATATATGTCTACAAGAAAGACTGCTACCAAAATATACTATATATATATATATATATATATATATATATATATATATATATATATATATATATATATATATATATATATATATATATATGTATGTATATATAGATAGATAGATAGGGGTACCACTGGTGCAATTGTAGGGACCCATAGCCTCGGAGAAGAAAATAAAGAGTACTCAGAGAAGACCTTGTGGATCCTCACTGAACACTTTGATATTTTCTTCTCCTACCACCCTTATTCTTTTGGTATGTGTGTATATACATCTAAGTTTATTTAAAATTTCATTACACAAAAAGGGTTACAACATTGATTACATGCAGGGTACAAGGCTCCTTGTCACACGTTCTACAGCTCCTCAGATGGCGGGCAGGAACCGTGGATGCAGTGAGCATTTCCTCTCTGGATTGCCACACTAAGGCGCTGAAAGAGGAAACTGGCGGCTCTAGAGTCTCTATAGTTGTTTCAATTAGCTTGGACCCCAACTCCTTAAAAATCTAGCAGCACTTTTACCCCAGGCACCAAGTGTCTCTGAGGCAATGGGGATAAAATTGTAGTGGTGATCAAGGTCTCTGTATTTACGTGACTTGGCTGCTTCCCGGTGATTGGCAGCTCCTCCTGCCTGTGCAGCACTGAAGTCAACATAGGTGTTGGCTAAAGTTGAAACTCAAGTTTAGTCCCACACCAATTGTCTACCATTCTTCCAGGGGTTCATCGTGATCCCGTTTGGGCGACCGACAGGCTCATCAGAGTTGCGGGGCATTAGTTAACGGGGCTCTCTCTCTGCTGGACAACCGGCTGTGGTAAGGCTTCTCATAATAATGTCGTTAACCTCGCTGTGTCTTGCATGCCATCCTCCTGTCCTTTGGCAGAGAAGGCCATGCCGTCCATATCTGTCGGCCTCTGCCTCGCTGCAAATACACCTGTATTCGGTGTGGATTGGGGCAGCTAGGCGGAAAGCCACGGCAATTCGGAGGGCCTGCAGTGTGAGACGGGTGCCGGTTGCTGACATTGGGGTTGCTAATAGGAAATCCCCTGCATGGGGAGCTGCTACAGCTCTAAGTCGGGCAGTGTCATGTGGTGTTGTCGCAGCTTCTAGGCATGTCACAGCTGCTTCCTCGACAAGGGGGCGATCCCAGCTGGATTGCTTATGGGCTTCAGAAGGTGGTGGTTGGGGTGCTGGTCCTGCAAGAGAGACCCATTTGGTTGTGCAGTCTGTGAAGCTGGGATCATGTATCCCTGCCTGTTGAACTAGGTGCTCAGGTAGGATTTCCTTCACCAAGTTATCAGACGCCACTGAAGAGGACAGGAACGCTGGTACAGCAATTTGTGTTGCTGTGCGCACGCCAAGGCCCCCGAGTCTGACAGGAAGGGAGGCCTGTTTCCACTGTGAATCGCTGAGAGAAAGGTTGAGGGCTTTTTCTAGCATTGATTTTAGCAAGCTGTCGTAGTCTTCTGATATAATATTTTTAAAAGATGGCGAACATCTAAGAAAGTAGGTCAGGTCAGCCTGGGGAGGGACAAGCATCTAGTGATGAGGTATGTATATCTAACCTACGATTGAAACAATCAAGTCACTCTACGTTTCCCGGTAATCTGTTCGACAAATCAGCAACCTGAAGATTTCAGACCAGTATTTACCCAGGTCTTTCTAGCTGACGTTGTTTCCATTTCAGTTTTTATGATATTTTTAGCAAACCATCATATATGGTAGGCAACGATGAGTCAAAAATACCCATCTTTTGATTCATCGTGTCGTTCATCTTCACAATTCTTCGTTATTCAGAAGAATTTATGTCAAGGTTTTCTTTTTTAATCTGAAGGTTTCTAACTCAAACAGTTTTCTAATTTGTTAATTTTGGATTGTAATTGTTGTAAGTAACGTTGTCATCCTTCTGTGGACACCTTCATGTGTCTCTAGTATAGCACGTCTATTATATATTAGGTCTATTATATAGTATGCCTATTATATAGTATGTCTATTATATAGTACGTCTATTATATATTAGGTCTATTATATATTATGTCTATTATATAGTATGTCTATTAAATATTATGTCTATTATATAGTATGTCTATTATATAGTATGTCTATTATATAGTATGTCAATTATACAGCATGTCTATTATACAGCATGTCTATTATACAGCATGTCTATTATACAGCATGTCTATTATACAGCATGTCTATTATACAGCATGTCTATTATACAGCATGTCTATTATACAGCATGTCTATTATATAGCATGTCTATTATACAGCATGTCTATTATACAGCATGTCTATTATACAGCATGTCTATTATACAGCATGTCTATTATACAGCATGTCTATTATACAGCATGTCTATTATATAGCATGTCTATTATACAGCATGTCTATTATACAGCATGTCTATTATACAGCATGTCTATTATACAGCATGTCTATTATACAGCATGTCTATTATACAGCATGTCTATTATACAGCATGTCTATTATACAGCATGTCTATTATATAGCATGTCGACCAAACGACAAACTATAAAGAATTAGATATTATCTAAATCATACTCTCTATAAAGAAACAGATATATTTACCTGACGGTGAGGAGCAACATAAATTTGGAAAACAACCTTAGAAGTTTTACTGACAAAGCTTATTTTTCAGCTTAAACCGTTTCATCTAAAACTCCCCCCCCCAGCCCCCCCTCCAAAAAAATACGATCACAAACCTATATCATTTTTAAACAAAAAATAAAAATATATATTCAGGTATATGCAATTCAGAAAATTCCCATCCACCTGTCCATAGGCTTCCTCCGCCTCTATTGGCTAGGCTATCGTCCCCCTACTGTACACGACCCCTCACAGATACCCCATAATCCCCTATCCTCCCCCCCCACCACCCAGGGCCACCGCTGGGGGCCCAGCAAGTCACTTTGTGGGCCCCAAGAGGTCGCCGCGGACGATTGATATTATATTTTTTTAAACTTGAATTGGTGATTCCTGTGGAGTTATCTGTCGGAAGCCATGTTGTTTGGTGCGGGGGAGGGGAGGGGGGGAATGTTTACTTTGAGAGAGAGAGAGAGAGAGAGAGAGAGAGGGAGAGAGAGAGAGAGAGAGGGAGAGAGAGAGAGAGAGAGAGAGAGAGAGAGAGAGAGAGGGAGAGAGAGAGGGAGAGAGAGAGAGAGAGAGAGAGGGAGAGAGAGAGAGAGAGAGGAGAGAGAGAGAGAGAGAGAGAGAGAGAGAGAGAGAGAGAGAGAGAGAGAGAGAGAGAGAGAGAGAGGGAGAGAGAGAGAGAGAGAGAGAGAGAGAGAGAGAGAGAGAGAGAGAGAGAGAGAGAGAGAGAGAGAGAGAGAGAGAGAGAGAGAGAGAGAGAGAGAGAGAGAGAGAGAGAGAGAGAGAGAGAGAGAGAGAGAGAGAGAGAGAGAGAGAGAGGGAGAGAGGGAGAGAGAGAGAGAGAGGAGAGAGAGAGAGAGAGAGAGAGAGAGAGAGAGCAAATTATTTATATCCTGCATACTCCTAATTGCCCGCAGTCTATACCCATCAAACGACATGCATACAGATTAATGTATTTTCCCCTAGTCTATATCAAGTATTTTCAAGTCTATATCATGTATTTTCCTCTATCTATATAATGTATTTTTATGTCTATATCATGTATTAAACTCTGAATGTTAAATATTTGTTTTTATATACTTAAATACAACTATCTTATAGCATTGGCTAGTAATGGATGAAATTGGATTTATTACAAGTGGATTAAAATTGGATTGTAATCAGTACAGTTAAGAGCATGATCAATTTTCAATAAGTTTAGGTTAAAAAAAAGATCAATATATATATACAAATTCAAAATTTTTATTGCATAAATTTGTAAATATATTAACACATGTTGGCAAACATTTAAATTCTTCGTAAATACTTAAACACATGCATGGTAATATATAAAAACACAGCTTTGTAAATATAAATTATTCGTAATTATATAAACGCAAGATTTTAAATTAACATTCATATATTCGAAATGTAATTGAAAATCTATATAACAAGATTCCATTGTAAGGACACAGGACCCATCACACTGTGAGGACACAGGACCCATCACACTGTGAGGACACAGGACCCATCACACTGTGAGGACACAGGACCCATCACACTGTGAGGACACAGGACCCATCACACTGAGGACACAGGACCCATCACACTGTGAGGACACAGGACCCATCACACTGTGAGGACACAGGACCCATCACACTGTGAGGACACAGGACCCATCACACTGTGAGGACACAGGACCCATCACACTGTGAGGACACAGGACCCATCACACTGTGAGGACACGGGTGAGGGGTTGTCTGGTGGAAGGTGCGGGGTAACACATGAGAGGACGGGCTCAGCCCCTCAGGCGGTGTGAGGTAAAGACGATTGTGCATTAAACATCATAGTCAGAAATTACATTGTTTTGTTACCTATCATATTTGATAATTAACTACTCTGAACTAGCTTCATTTTACTGTAAGAATGTAAACCCCCTGTAACGAGGGAGAGTCAGCTGTAATTGGCTTGTTAGCAGGTAGCCGAACGATCGTTCCCAGACGCAGGAGAGGTTTGACCCACTAGCAAGGGCTGTCACACTCTCCCTTCACCACCTGGAAAATACAAACAGTTAAATTACATCAAAACTATCAGTCATAACAGTCAATAATAAGAGCATCAATGTCGGTCAGATCCACCGGAGCCGGACCACTCACCTCGTCCGGCTGGACAACAAACCGGTTGGCCAGGATGAAGGCCGAATTGGTCAGTTCATTCTTCTCGTTCTGCGCCTCTAAGGTTGCGTCCCAGTAGCCGTCCTGCACCATGGTGGGGTACTCCTGGGGGCTGGCGTCTGCCAGCAGGTACGACATCTGTGGGGGAGAGGAAGGTGAGGGTGGGCGGCTTGAAATTGAAATAACCTTATTGAGATAAAATACACAGAAAAGGATGAGGAAGCTCAAGCTATTCTCACCCCGTTCAGTACAACGTGTTCATATATATATATATATATATATATATATATATATATATATATATATATATATATATATATATATATTATTAAATATGACCGAAAAAGTAAGATTAATAATTCTAACACGAATTTTCTCTATCTTTCGTACATTTCTTTTCACTGTTGGTGGTAATTCAAAAATCAATTCTCCAAAATTCATTTTAATTTCTAGTCTAACGTTAGTTTCTTGATAATCCTTGTTTCAGTGCTGAGGTGATGTCGGTCTGTGAGGATGTCGAGGTGTTGTTCAATGCGGGTACGGATACTTTCGTCGATGTTGCTATTTCTCCATTCGTTTGTAGCATGAAGTAGTTGCGTTTTGTTGTCTTTGATTTCATTTTCCGCCTTGTGTATCTGATCACGAATCAGATCCTGGCGATATTTTATCGTGAAGGCTTGATTCCTTGCTGCTGGGTCGTGCGTTTTAATATTAGTATATTTTGGTAGCAGTCTTTCCTGTAGACATATATTATTAAATATATATATATATATATTTTCATATATATATATATATATATATATATATATATATATATATATATATATATATATATATATATATATATATATATATATATATATATATATATATATATATATATATATATATTGTGACGATAATCTCCTTCAAGAGATTGAGCCTGCTCTTCCCTCCAAAGTTCGTCACTATATATCTCTATACAACTAATATGGAAGAAATATCCAACAAATACAACACCAAGGTTTGCCAGAGAGCAAACGTATGCAGCACCAGGAACACCTGCTCCCCCCGCCACTCGGATCACCAAACTACCTGTCCGTCGCCTGCTCATCGCTGATTGGCTGTGTGTCCAGTTGCACCTGCCCTCCACCCGCCACACTACCTGATGTCTGGGGCCACACGACCTACAGACCTCAGAATATCCAGTGCTTTCAACAAGTTAACACGTCTCGTTGGTAGACGAGCTTACGTGTACTGTGTACTCTGGCTTACGTGTACTAAGAGAGGTGGCAGCTTAAAGCCAATATTCCTGCACCTATCTATCTGATTGTATATTGTTCACTTGTTATTACTCACTTGTCTTAACGTAACTTTTAATTTTGTCATTTGATTATTCTTATTATTTTGATTGATTGATTTTATGTTCCAATTTGTATGTCCATTTTATTCATGTTTTGCTTTTCTAACGTAATTAAAATCTCATTGTTAAATTTACTTGTGTTTTGTGTGTCTTCCCATTACCTTACCACAGACGAAGTTCCAGATTTTTCTCTTTTTTTGTTTCTATATGTGACGAGGCCATACCCCTAGCTTTTGAAACAGCCGAACACCAACGCGTTACCGTCACATATTAAGTGGGGGCCTGTCCTAGGAGCTTCACTCAGGTACTGGTGCCAAGTAGTAATTAATGGTAAGCGTATTTAACTTTGGTAACGTAGCGTTTACTATTTTTCATATTCAATTTCATTTCTATATGGTGCGGAGTGTATTGTGCATTACGAGAGTAGCATATAGTGAAGGTGAGACAACTTTGGATTACGTGGTGACTGTAGGCCTCAGTCATACTCTTAATTGGTCATCTCTCCCTCCGTGTTATTACTCGTGTTTACCATCTTTTGTCCCTTGGATATTTCTCATTTTTGACAGATCATCATATTGGTACCCTGGTACTGTGGTCTGCCCCGGGTCAAGTGCACCTAATCTTCTGCAATCTGACTGTAGGAGGATAAAGAGGGCCATAGTTCCTCTAGCTCGAACTTTAGTTGCTGAATTGGGACCTCAGCAGCAGTTCTCGTCTCCAGTTGACACCTCGCACCCCTACACGTCAGTCAGAGATGATGATACATACAACGGTAGGGAATTAGCTTACTTTTTCAGAGCACAAAAGTTCGCTAATTCTGTAAGTATCATATTAATTTCAGTAGGAAAAACTTGCTTATGTCCTATAGAGACTCTGCAAGGTATGCCTACATCCTTGGACTACCAATTTTACTTTTGAGGCAATTAACTGTTTCATTTGTTTTCGAAACTCTGTTTCATTTGTTTAGTAGGATTTTCTTGCCCTTATCCTCTCACATGAGTACCGGGTACAAGATTTCCTGCGCCCTTGATTTAAATTAATCATTTAACATCTTGTACTTAACTTTAATTGTTAAAGATCCCACAGGATAGGTACCAGTTGCCACGTTGTCCTGTTTCTGACATTCACTATATAACGGTATATTCGTTGTACATTTATTTGCTAATTTCACCATGTTTCGTCTCCAAGCTTTCCGTGCAGATCCAGCAGGTGAAATAGGGACTTTAAGTCGTGCCAAGAGGACTGAATTACAAACTCTTGCACATGAGTATCAACTAGAAGTTCCCTACCAAGCCAACAAAAATGACATACACAACCTGTTGCTGGATCACTATTTAGAGCAAGGTAAGATAGACTCTGAAACTCATGAAACTTACTATATTGCAGATAAAACTGACTTGGCAACGATGAAACTCAAACTAGAACTGGCCAAGATTGAACGTGAGCAGCAAAGGGAAGCCCTCGAACAACAAAGAGAAGCAGCTGCCATACGAAGGGAAGAACAAGAACGTGAAATCGCCCTCAAAGAACGTGAAGCTGCCTTGAGGAGAGAAGAACAAGAACGTGAGGTTGCACTACTCCGTGAGCGGGAACGAGTACAGCTTGAAACCAAACAACGCGAGTTGGAGATGCAACGCGAACATGACCAGCAACAAGCGACTCTGGCTCTAGAGTGTCGTCAACGAGAATTCACGTTGGAAACTTCACACCTCGCTCAACGCCAGCAAGCTACTGCCAATCTTCCCGTCAGTTTTAATATATCACATGCAAGTAAGTTAATGCCATCCTTTGTAGAAGCAGAAGTTGATGTGTTTTTCACCACCTTTGAAACCCTTGCTAATCAACTCAGTTGGCCTGTCGACCAGTGGGCCACACTTCTCAGAGTCCATCTTACAGGTAGAGCTGCAGTCACACTCAGTACTTTGGCGTCTGAGAATGACTACCAGACTCTGCAACAAGCAGTGTTGGACGCCTACCTCCTCTCCACAGAAAGTTATAGAAGGAAATTCCGTGACCACCTGAAGGCAAGTACCACTACCTTCCTCGAGTTTGCTAACACAAAACGGAGATATTTTATGAAATGGCTGGAAGCAGCACATGTCTCTACTTTTACAGAACTCGTCAACCTGATGCTAGTTGAAGAATTCTTGAGGCGTGTGCCGCCTCCTGTCCGTCTATACTTAGCAGATAAAGAAGAAACCGACTACCTGAAGTGTGCTAAGTCGGCTGACACTTACAGCCTCATCCACCGGCTGACACCAGAACCATCCTCCAGTAAGAAGTCGTGGTACAGTTACGAGAAAGTGAGCACCGATCAAGCTGGCTCGCAATTGTACTGCAAGTATTGTAGACTCTATGGACATACCATAGACAAGTGTGGTAAGTCTCAATACAAAGGAACCACTGACCCACAGAAACCCAAACCAACTCCTTCTAAGTCCGGTAAGCCTGTGATGAATGTTGGTGTTAATGTTAATGATCTTTCTCTTTTCAGTAACCACCTGTATACTGGAACTGTCTCTGCCAACGGTTCAAATCCGGAGGGACGTTTCAAATTGAAGATCTTGAGGGACACAGCGGCTCTTCAATCGATCATCTTGAAGTCGGCTGTGCCCAACATCGCCTACACCGGAGAAACTGTCTTCATCACTGACCTCACTGCTACCACTCCTTACCCTCTCGCCAGAGTCCACCTGGATTGTCCCTACGTGAACGGAGAAGTCCAAGTCGCCGTCAGGGAAAAGCCTTTTCCCATGCCTGGAGTGCAACTTCTCCTAGGCAACGACTTGGCAGAAGACCTGCAATCGACCAACCTGATCGTCATGGACAAACCCCAGGTGTGTACCTCTGTGCCAATTAACCCTATACTAGAGTATGTTCCAGCAGAGGTTCAAGAGAGTGATGAAGTTTCTCCTCCGGTTCTAGTGACCACCCGTGCACAAGCCGCACGTCCACAGCCAGCTGACTCTACTGCTACCGCTGTCCCTCAAGACCCTCAGAAACTCCCCCCGAATCTGACCAAGCTGGAGTTCCGTAAGTTGCAGAGGGAAGATCTTACTTTAACACCATTGTTTTTCCAGGCTGAGACTCAACCCGACAGTATTCCTGGGTTCTTCCTAGAGAACGACTTGCTCTACCGCAGATATAGACCGCAGATATATATAAACTGAAGGAGGAGGACGATTGGGCCAACATCGAACAACTTGTGATTCCTACCAGAATGCGGCCCACTATTCTACACCTGGCCCACGGAGCACTCACCCACTACGGATTCAACAAGACTTACCATGGAATTCGTCAAGACTACTAATGGCCAGGTATGGTAAATAGCGTCAAACAGTACGTAAAACAGTGTCATACATGTCAGATGGCAGGCAAACCAAACATCTCCATTCCCAGAGCACCACTGATTCCCATACAGGTGCCTGCGGAACCTTTCCACAGACTTATAATAGACTGTGTTGGTCCTTTACCTCGGACCAGTTCAGGTAACGCCTATATCTTAACCATCCTGTGTCCTACCACCAGATTTCCCATAGCAGTTCCAGTGAAGAACATCACGGCTGCTACGGTTGTAAAGCATCTATTGAAGATCTTCACTCAATACGGATTTCCCAGGGAGATTCAGAGCGACTGTGGTACCAACTTCACCAGTGATCTCTTCAAAAGGACACTGGAGGAGTTCAACATCAAACAGGTATTGTCCAGCCCCTATCATCCTGCTTCACAGGGTTCTCTTGAGCGTAGTCATCAGACTATCAAAGCACTCTTGAAAAAGTTTTGTAGTGAAACCTCT